GCCCAAAGCAAGACTGACGCGCCCCCCCGTCCCGTTAGCTAGCAGACAACTCAGAGATTTCAACCCCGGACCCACGGCCCCGCCTTGATCCCGGCGCGTTCAAAGTCCCGCCTGCCCGATGTGTCCCCCTTAAAAAGTCCGGGCGGGACTGTGCCTTATACTACCAAACACGACCTCGAGTCTCAATTCGCAACCATGGCGCCGACCAAGCGCGGCAGAGCCGAGGCTGCTCCGAAGCCCCAGCGCGCGCGTCGGGCAGCGAAGTCTTTGGAGGACGCCCTGCCTGGCGGTCCCGCGACCCTGGTCAGCTGGCTGTCACCCTGGACCACACCGGCCGACAAGGAAGGGGAAGAAACCCTTTACGAAGCCGAACGTATGTGCGACGCCGGCGTCTGCGACCATGCTGGATTTCACATGGTCCGCGATCTCTTGCAGCTGGCCTGCGCCAACAGGACCTGGAACCAGCTGCGCTTCCCCGCCCGCAACGCCAACAAATTCGTGGACCAGTGCCACGAGGACTTTAATTTCCGGTGCTCTCAAGACCAAAATGATCATCTCGAGATCCCCAGGAACGTGCTGCGGAATCAGGACGCAGCCTTAAAGTTTCTGCCCCGCCGCGAAAGACGCCTGGTCGTGCTGGCCATGGCGATCGGCTCCGAAAGCGCTGCGGCGGGCGTCCGGATTACTCACAAATACACCTCGGGAGCGGTGCTCGCAGACCGCCCGCGGGACCCCCTGCCTCTTGACTACCCAAACTTCCTACCGTGAGACATATAAGCTCCCCGCTGGTCGAGCATGCGCGTTTAAAGCGATAAATGTCGGCAAGGTAGAAAGCATGGAATTAGCCTGCCGGAACGTCGCAGAGAAGCCCTCCGAAGCCAATCTGGTGAGGTTGCTGGACTTGTGGTCTGCCGAGTGGAAGCACCAAGGACGCACCCGGGCCGTAGGACCTGGAGCTTACGAGAAGTATGCGACGCTGGGGCTGTTCGGACACGGGGGTGTGGTTGGAGTTTCCAACGCAACGCGCTTGCGGGAAGCCTGCGACGCCGTGAATCGATTTCTCAAGAGCCGCTTTCCCAACGGCACCTGGACGTCTATCGCCGTGCTCTTCAATCCCCGCATGGGCTTGCATCGCGACATCATGAACATGCCCGAGCATCTGAATCACGCGCTGGCTCTGGGGGATTACACAGGAGGGCGGGTGTGGATCGAAGACGACGATGGGGACTCCACATGCACGACAAGCCTGTTAGCTTCGACGCTCGAAGCTATCACAAGGTCGAGCCGCACGAGGGCAGCATGTGGGCTCTCGCAGCTTATGTGCCGCAAGCCTATGCTCGGGCGACGGAGCAGCATCGGGAGGCGCTCAGGGAAGCAGGTTTTCCGCTTCCGGTGAGTAAAATCGTGTGACGAAATGACACACTTCTGTTAGGTTTCTATGCGTTCAAGCATGTAACAGAAAGTAGTGCGGTTTCAACACAACTTTAAACAACTTCAATTTAAGGCTTGCATTCGCACATGATTAGTCTCTACCAGTCTGTACCCTGCAATCCTGAGTCTTTGTCTTAGAGACTGCACATGGTCACGAGTCTTTGCCTGCGCCCGAAGGCAAGACCGCAAGCGTCGCGTTGTATACGCTACAGCCTGCATAGGTCTTCCCCTATCTTCCGCGATAGATCAGGGTCTCTACCCGGATGATTGGGGTAAAGATGCAATCAATGTGAAACAATTTGTGGCTTATACGCTGTTTTACACAGTTTATGCATTGGCTGTTTTTACTGAGCTGTACGCAGGCTGTGAGCTGTGCTGTGAGCTGTGCTGTTACTAAGATGTACGCTTGTGAGCTGTAGCTGTTTTTTACTGAGCTGCACGCAGGCTGTGAGCTGTGCTGTTTGTACTGAGCTGTAGGCTGTAAGCTCTGCTGTTTTTTACTGAGATGTGCGCTTGTGGGCTGTGGCTGTTTTTACTGAGCTGTAGGCCGTGAGCTGTGCTGTTTCTTACTGAGATGTGCGCTTGTGAACTGTGGCTGTTACTGAGCTGCACGCAGGCTGTAAGCTGTTTTTACTGAGCTGTAGGCTGTGCTGTTTTTTACTGAGATGTGCGCTTGTGAGCTGTGGCTGTTTTTGCTGAGCTGTACGCAGGCCGTTTTCGAAGCTAAATATCCCCGAATCTCGCTTCGATCCCGAAAACCTCGGATTTCGTCCCAGGTGGGGCGAAGAGGCCGTTTTTGAGGCTAAATCACCCCGAAATCGGGCTAAAATTAATTGGTTCAATAGCCCCCCCTATCCAACACATATAGGGGGCCTGTAGCTGTTTTGCAAGCTTCTT